ATCCAACTGTTCGGAGGACGAGGTGAATTGACCACGAAACCGCTTCCAAAGATCAGGCCAGTGATATAGTTACTATCTGAAGGGTGGAAATGCAACAGATGCCGTTGATAACGAACGGTGTAGCAACAGGGGGTACCACCTGCCAACGTATAAACTAATAGAGCTCGTCGTCGCAGTCGTCGTTGTCGTACAACATTTAGGAATGTAATATTCGACTTGGGTTGCAAACCCGGTCAAACGAGTCTCGTTCCGAGACTGCAAGTCAGAGCCCCCCCTGCAACTATACAATATCGATAAAGAAGTTTCTCAAGAACGCACCGATCAAGAGGGCAGAGGATATATAGGGATTCATTAGAGGAAGATACATAGACGTGTCTTCACAAGTGTCCTTAGAACGTTGAGTGCGTGGGTGCGTGCGTCAGCAAACTCTCTCGTTTCCTATTGTTGGTTATGGAATGAACCGATGCCCAGCTGAATTCTCCAGCTGTCAGTGCTTCAGGTTCTATTACTGTCATCGAGCATTATCATGACCCCGATGATGCGGCTGCTCCTGTCGACGTTGCTGCTGGTACTGTCCTCCTGCTCGATTCTTCTTTGCTCAGCGAGCGGCGATGGTGGACCGAACAGCCCTATCTTTAACCTGGACAACACCGCGCTGGAGAAAAATCTCGCGGCGATATTTAACAAAGTGGCACACAGCTCGGCGACCACGAAACGCAGCGTGCCCGCCTACGATGCGCAAGTTTCGGCCAGTACGACGTTGTCGACGGTACCGTCACCCCTGACGACCACTACCACCACCACCACCACCACCACGAGTCCGTCAATACCATCCGTCAGGTATCCTCCTGTTCCTCGGGCGACCATGTCGCCGGCCTTTCGCGAATTGCCTTCGTACGCCCCACCTTCTCGCGCTCTCTTCACGCCTCCTCTGCCGCCCGAGTACCTTCATCCGTTTGCAAATAAGCCAACGTTGAGGGGAACCAACTCGGATGTTCATTCGGGTCTGAAGAGACCGGTACCACCGCCGAGCGGCACGCCGGCTCACGAGCGGATACCTATCAGGCCTCCCGATCTTCAGGGTCCCTCTCAGATGCCGGAGAGACACTCTCATTCGAGGAACAAACCGTTAAATACACCGAGCAAGGAGCAGAATGTGGTGGAGTCCAGCGAATTGGACAGGAGGAACAGTACCAACGAGTTTGTGGCCACTCTGCATTATCCGAGCATCTCGAGGATATTATCGGGCAGCAATGGCCGTAAGCAGGATATACCGGAGATACTATTGAAGCCTCTGGCAACGAAAAATCCAGCACAGAACACGCCGGTGATGCCATCCACTGAAAAGATGACAACGCCGAGTACAACGACGGCCAGAACGTCTAGCACGCTAGACTCAGCCAAGTCTGTTACGCAACCGACGATTTTCAATCTGCCGAACACCAGGAGGCACGATGACGACAGTTATCACGGGCTGAGGAACGAGAATGGCTTCAAGACGGAGAACATCGAGATCGTGGATACGGAGAGGCTGCCGTATCCTCAGCCACAACCTCCTGCTCCACCTCCCAAGAGGCCCAACGAGGCTGGTGACCGTATCGTACCACAAGTAGACACACATCTTCTCGAATCCACCTGGCGAATCGCTTGGTTCCTCCACGTATACGTCGCCGCGATCATGTTCACGCTAATGGCTCTATACTCGATCTACAAGATCGTTCGTTTCAACGAAGCAACGAATCTACTCACCCAGTCATACTTTCTCACAGTTCATCTGCTTCTCACGATCGTATGTACCTTAAGGTGCTTTCACCTGTTCTACGACGCTTACAATCGAGGCCATTCACTGCCCGAACCTTTGTCCCGAGTGCTCATGTACCTACCAGCACCGTTGTTATCCAGCGCGTTTGCCACATTGGTGCTCTACCTGGCTCGTTGCTCGGAAGCGCCGTCTTTGAACAACAGGTTTCTGTCACCAGCCGCGCTGATGTTGTCGTCAACGGTTCATATAGTCCTTTGCGTCTCCCTGCACGTGTTCACGCACGTGCTTGGCTATCAGGACGAGGCGAAGATACTACCGTTGATCTGCCAGTGCATTTACATCATCGTCTGCGTGATGCTTGGCCTAGGCTACATGTACGTCTACCGAGTGGTGCGCTCGCAGATCCTCCTAACAAATAACAAGACGGCAGGGACGAGTCACATAGTCGGTACTGATCCTACCACCATGGCCTTGAGCACCGCCATCACCACCAGCATCGCTACCGCTTTATTCTTCATACTGATGGGATTCGTCCAACTGTACGGGATATTCGGGAATGTCCAGGAACGACCACAATCGTATCCGTGGCTATGGTGGGGCTGGCAGTCCTCCGTCAGGCTACTCGAACTGGCGGTGTGCGGTCTACTCGCCTGGGTAGCCAGTCTATCCCAGTACCCGTTGCGAGAGAAACAGCTGCAACAACACCCGGTTCATTCTGGCTTCGCTCTGTTTCCATGCGGTAGCTCGACCTCCACCGAGAATATGGACGACGTGCTTTACCCAGCTATCTGCAGCACCAACCAGGCGATCCAGAACTACACGATGAGGACTGGGAAACAGGTTTACGACGATAGCTTCCCGCTGAACACACTGCCCGAGCATTTGAACATATCAGGTATCGACGCGTGTGCGCCACCATGTGATATTCAATGTTATGATCTGAATCTACCAGCAAACTATTTCTCGTTCACTGTGTCTCGTGAGAATTTTCTGACCTCTATTGTAGGTCTTGCGAATCCTTCTTTTTTTTTTTCTGTTTTTTGTTTTTTATTTTAAATTGCATCGAAACGTGACGAGCAAACCCGAGACAGGTTTCGCGTGTAATTTTTACGTATCTCGTTTAAGTGAATACTCATTTTCTTAATTCCATGTTTAAGCTTAGGGGAAAGTCCCGAGGTAAAGTCGAAGTCCGTTTACTTTCTTAGTTTCCTGGACGGAAGTAAAAACCTACTTGTTTTTAAAGCAATTCCACCAAGACTTAATCGCAATTCCCTAATGTAGGAGGATATTCGCTAGAGAGATTATTTAATAACATTTCCATGAAATTCTTATGACGCAGACGTGAAATTGTTGTTTTTCCTAATAGTCTTGCAAGATGTATAAACGATAAATTAGGTCATCCGAAGCAACGTGCTGTTAGGTCATCCGGAGCAACGTACAGTCAACGTGCCTTGAGAGGAGTTCGGAACGCTGACTCGCGGTATTAGTACAATATCGAGACTTCGAAATCAGCAGTTCTTTCCACGCTTTTGTCTTCTAATCGACGCGCTATTGCCTTTAAGGTGCCGCGACCGGAATAGCATACTGAACGGGAAACATTGAAACTTTTTTCCATTCGTACGTCTGTTTTCTCAATATCGGAAATCCAACTGTTTTAAGTGTTCGTTTCAAGTGTTCTTACAGTTCTTCGTCGCGCCCTATAAAAAATAATTTTAATAATTTGAAAGAAATCAAATTTTAGATATACGTCTGGTCGCGTCACTCACGTGAAACTCATTTGACAATCTAATCTTAAAAATGTGCCAAAATATTAAAGACAAGAACATGATACGATGAATAACTCTTCTACGTTCATCTGGACTTATTGTTAGCCTAAAGGAGAGAAATTCAAATACGAGATATACCACGAACTGTAACAATCTGTGAGAAAAAACGAAGAAGATTTGAAAAGAAGAAAAAAACAACGGGCCTTGTACTTGAAAAAGTATATAGTATATATTAAACAATAGTATTGTTGTTGCAGGTACTTTCGAGAGGCATTCCATCCGCAAGTCAGGCACCATGGGCCATTTCCCACATGAAGGTCGCGGTTCGTTAAACCGGCATGGTAATGGGATACAAACTCTAAGGAACTCCGAAAGTCGCGGCAGGCACACGCCTGTACAGCAAGGAAGCGGCGGCGCTGTCCATGAACAAACACCGACCACAGGCTCGACGATGCTCGTCGCCGAGGACGGATTCGTCAGGTTCCGTAGCTTAGGGGCGGAGGACGACGAACTGTCGGACACGCCGAGTGTTGTTGGCACCCACGGTAGAGGAAGTTCGCTGGCCGGAAGTGTGAGATTCAACGCGAGACACCCAACGCTGCAGCATCAGCATCCTCATCAGCACCAGCATCAACACTCGCTGCAACATCCGCATCAGAGTCAGCACCAGACTCACCACCAGTTGTACATCAACACGTAAAAGTCGTATCGTTGCAGGCGTTGAACAGATTGTAACTTCTTGTTCCCGTTGACTCGGTGAGTTTCGCCAAGAATTGAAAATAAACGACGATCGTCAAAGAATGAGTTATCCTTGTATCCTCCAAGTCTCTCGATATTCTTGTATTCCAAGCCTCAACGCTTTTGAATGTTAACCTTGCACGAAAGGTCTACAGTGTCTTATTTAAACACACTGCTGATTCGTAACTTGAAACATGAAGGCAATATCGTTCATAGTTTTTCATTACGCTTCGTAAATCTTCATGTTTTAAAAGTTAGTGTATCTTTGATTGAAAAAATAGACTTTCGCTGAGGAATGTTGATCAAACATGATTGACATTCAAAAGCATTGAGACATATATAGATAGATGAAATTATATATCGATAAAGGATAAAAAAAAAAAAAAACATTTTCCATTAAGTTTTTACCCAGACGTCGTAAAAGTGTCTGATATATAACGCGCGCCGTGTAATTCCGTTAAAATGAAGAAACGCGGCCTTGCGAATCGTTAAAAGTTGAGATTCCGCGCGTTTTATCTTCCCTAAGAAGTTGATAAAAAAGTTTACCTAGCAGAGGTTAAAGTTCCTTTCCCAGCTATGCAGAACAGCGTTAAAAGTAATTTAATTGGAACAATGAATTAACGGGGGCACGCGTATGAAATCCTCCTTTCAGCTTTCTGGACGATATGAAAGATATTGTATTTTTTTAAAATGTTTCATATATGTGTAGTGTTTAACGATAACGAGAGATAAGCAGCAATTTCTTGCCGACAGGTTTGAAGTTGCGATGTACAGAATGAGAAGAAACTCCGATGTTTACGATACACTTACGATTATTCCTGATGCTTTTGTGTTGCAGATTACAGTCAGAGAAGATTGTCGACGAAGATATAAGGATATGTTCCGCGGCTCTCTCTCTCCCTCTCTCTCTGGCAACTAATGGTCTAAACAACTTTGAAGAAACTAATTTTACCTTTAACTTTATGTAAGATACGTCCTTGTGTATAGACAAAACCTTCAAGCGAAAAAGAAAAAAAAAAAAAATATGATGAATTCGCCATTCGCATTCTTCCGCTTCGCGCGTCTGCGTCCGAGCCGACGAACCTTTGCTGTTCATGGTATTCGTAATATTTATTTCGAGGTTCTCGATCAAAGAGGCGGAGACGAAAAAAGAAGAAAAAAAAAAAGAAATAACAAAGATTAGAAAAGATAAAAGAAAAATGTATACGTGGAACTCTCGGTAACACAGAGTTTCTTTCCTCTACCTGTTAACATGGGGTAGCGTTCAGGGTATCTCGAACTTCGACATTAGGAGGCACTTGGTACTTATTTAAGGTTCATGTGATCTAAACGAATACGATCGTATATCGTCATCGAAATGAAAATGACAAGAAAACTCATAGCAGGCAAAGCTTTCTTTCGTTTTTCCTTCTTCGAGTAGCGAGACAAACTCGGCTGTGGAAACGTATCGGTATAACATGTGATTCAGTGAAGAAACTGGCGTGTGTGGTCCCGTGGATGAACTACAGGCACGCCATCTAGTAATTTATTTTTCTCACTTTATAACTCTTTTTTTTTTTTTACCTCTTGTCATTGCGAAAAACCGTGGCCAACAGTTTGTTTTAACGACACGGGCTATTCCCAGTGAGTACTCGAATTTTTCCAGATCGTTAAGTTTTTACTAGGGAAAATGAACCGCGGGTTTGTACAAATTTAAGGTACTCGACACACCATTTTTATCACCTGTTCAACCGATACGCGTGTATCCTTCCTCGAGATTCTGCGCGCACGAGATTCCACTGCGTACTGCTTTTGCGATATCGACAGGAAGTATATTTTATAATGAAGAGTAAAAGCGAAAAAAAAAAAAATGTTAAGAATTTAAAAAATGGAAACTTATTCACGTGGTCCAAGTAAGATGAACGAAAAAAAAAAAAAAAAAAAAAGAAGAAACGAGACTCGAGAAGTTTGTAGTAGTTCTACGAAAGAAAAAATAATAATTCCGAGCGAGTAAGTAGAAAAAATGTAAATTCTCCTTTTTTTTTT